AACAACAAGTTGCAGGAAAACAGTTCAGCATGAAGTGACTCTCCTCCTCCAGAACATAAAAAATATAAAGTTATCCACTTTGAATCTTGTAGAAAAATAGTCTTCATGTCCAAGCCCTGCTGATCACATCTCTCGTATTCGCAGCCATTTGACCAATAAATATAACCATAACCAAAACCATGCTTCTTTGTATTGACTGTAGCGTCATGCAGCACATGGAAGTTTTTCGAGAGCAGGGCTTGTGCAAATAGTGGACAGGTGGACTTTTCCATTACAGAACATATAAAGCATGCAGGGTTTGATCTGTTTACACAGGCAGCATTGAAGACATGACATTACATTTTGCTTCATGTTTTTCTCACACAGGAGACTTAACTGAAAACCTGTGTAAAAGCCGTATCTCCCTCTTTGTGAGTGAAATGAGAATCCTGTTTCAGACTATATTGTTCTGCCATGAAATGAAAAATAAGTCTCACTTTCCTCTCTAAAAGACTGAATTCAAACTTTAACTTAGATGTGAATTTCAAATCAATAACACCAAAGTCCTGTGAGAGAGCTGTCATCAAACTGAATACATCTGCGTCGTTCCGACACATTTTCGACTCAGGCAACATTAAACGGAACTGTCTTTAAAATCTCTGGCTAAAAAGGACCCGTTTGACAGCGTTGATGATGTTAAAGTTAAGAGATGAGTGCCTCAGCTGCCTTTGAGCCACGGCCCCCCTGGTAGGTTTAGTAAAGTTGTTCTACTGTTTGTGTTTCTTGGCATAATTTAATGAAGATGTCCTTTTCTGGAAGGAATGGCAGTATTTTCAATTGAAAAAGCTTAGAGCAGAACATGATTTCAAGGCGTTGGGCTTTTAGGAAACACTACCTGTATGACTCGTAGCAGAACCTAGTGTGCGTTTGGCTTTTCATATGTTATTACTCTAGATTACAAAATAAACAGAATGAAATCAAAAAGAACATAATTTAACAATTACTACTGTTCTGCAGGTAGTTTCAGAAGTTGGAAGACTCCTCTAAGACTGCATCAATTGATTAGTATCATTATCAATTAATGTGACACTTAATTTATTGATCAGTCAGATAATCAGCTTTTCTGTAAGATTAAAAAAATGCAATAAAAATGTAACTGGCTTCTTCATATTTCATGTTTTTTAATCTGAACATCAGTGCAAATCCTCCAACATTTCCGTTTACTTTTATATTTAAAAAAAAAACAAAAAAAAAAACACCAACAACATCAACAAAACCCCCCAGAAATCCACATATGTAAGAAGCTGGAATTAGCAATTATTTGTATTTTTTTTGCTTAAAAATAGTTGCTGATTCACTTTCTGCAAATTTCTGTCATCTGCTGCACATCAGTTTCCCAGTTTGTTTTGTAATCTAAACAAAGATTGTATCTGCACATGACATGTCTCTTTGCTCAGTTTGTGTAACAGAGAGAATATCTTTCATCTAAATGGTAACAAGAATCTCCTCAGCTGTTGTAAGTGTTGTTCAGTGGCCGAAAAACAATAAGTGAGTATTTACACTTCAGAAAGTCGGATACGTTTGAGCAGTAATGTGCCCTTAAATACAACATATTAATGACGATTAATGAAGTTATACGGTTTTAAAGACCATACTGTTGGAAGAATATACAAACAACTCCGGAGGAAGCTTTCATAATCGTGTTAGGGACACCAAAACAAAGTAAATGTTCTTTCAAACTGATAATGACATATCGAGCTTCACCAGAGTCATGACATAACATACAGAGCATAGCATAGACATGTCCGTGCCCGCTTCAAATTTCTGCAGAGCTTCTAGGTTAGGGTGTGACTTGTAGCCGACTGGTTTGCACAATAATGCTGCTGTTTTGCTTGTATTTAATCCATTTGCTAATTGCTTGGGGATACACACGTGGACAAAATTGTTGGTACCCCTCAGTTAATGAAAGAAAACCCCGCAACGGTCACAGAAATAACTTGAATCTGACAAATGTAATAATAAACAAAAATTCTATGAAATTTAAGCAATGAAAATCAGACATTGCTTTTGAGCCGTGGTTCAACAGAATTATTTAAAAAAATAAACTCATGAAACAGGCCTCGACAAAAATGGTGGTACCCTTAACTTAATATGTTGTTGCACAACCTTGTGAGACAATCACTGCAATCAAACGATTTCTGTAACTGTCAGTGAGACTTCTGCGCCTCTCAGCAGGTACTTTGGTCCACTCCTCATGAGCAGACTGCTCCAGTTGTCTCAGGTTTGAAGGGTGCCTTCTCCAGACGCCATGTTTCAGCTCCTTCCGCAGATGTTCAATAGGATTTAGATCAGGGCTCATAGAAGGCCACTTCAGAATAGTCCAATGTTTTCCTCTTAGCCATTCTTGGGTGTTTATAGCTGTATGTTTTGGGTCATTATCCTGTTGCAAGACCCATGACCTGTGACTGAGACCAAGCTTTCTGACACTGGGCAGCACATTTCCCTCTAGAATACCTTGATAGTCTTGAGATTTCATTGTACTCTGCACAGATTCAAGACACCCTGTGCCAAATGCAGCAAAGCAGCCCCAGAACATAACAGGGCCTCCTCCATGTTTCACAGTAGGGACAGTGTTCTTTTCTTGATATGCTTCATTTTTGCATCTGTGAACATAGAGCTGATGTGCCTTGCCAAAAAGTTCCAGTTTTGTCTCATCTGTCCATAAGACATTCTCCCAGAAGCTTTGTGGCTTGTCAACATGCAGTTTGACAAATTCTAGTCTGGCTTTTTTATGATTTGTTTTCAACAATGGTGTCCTCCTTGGTCGTCTCCCATGAAGTCCACTTTGGCTCAAACAACGACAGATGGTGCGATCTGACACTGATGTACGTTGACCTTGGAGTTCACCTTTAATGTCTTTAGAGGTTGTTCTGGGCTCTTTTGTCACCATTCGTATTATCCGTCTCTTCGATTTGTCATCAATGTTCCTCCTGCTGCCACGTCCAGGGAGGTTGGCTACAATCACATGGATCTTAAATTTATGAATAATATGTGCAACTGTAGTCACAGGAACATCAAGCTGCTTGGAGATGGTCTTATAGCCTTTACCTGTAACATGCTTGTCTATAATTTTCTTTCTAGTCTCCTGAGACAACTCTCTCCTTGGCTTCCTCTGGTCCATGTTTAGTGTGGTACACACCATGTCACCAACATCTAGGTTAAATGGGGTTGTAGACAACAACATTTCAAACTATTTTGATTTGCTGGAGGAGCACCACTCTGTTATAGTTTCATAAATTAACAGTCAATTTAATAAAATGGTGAGTTATCTGCTGTAAAGCGGTTACAGAGGTTTGAGGAAAGAGAACAGTGGGAATGATGTCTTGGAATATCCATGAAAATGGGACCATCAGTACGTTGTCCGTTAAGGCAATAGTGGGACTGTTTTGAATGAAAGTTGTTAGATCGTTGGTGGTTTGGTTCAGTAGTCACTTTGATTCCTGTTTTATATTTATTAGGGGACAGATTTTGAATACCAATCATCAAAATGTGCCTCCAGACAGTAGAAAACAGTTAAAGCTACGTATTTGATTTAATGTGATAGAGATTGCTGTCCTGTGCTTTTAAAGCCAAAGAAAGCTCCATCCTCCTGGTATACTTGGCGTTTGCTGCCATGCAAAACAAATTTATCAATAATACCTTAATGAATATGTAACAAGACAATAAAATTATGGCGCCAACACAAATCTGTCAAAGTACATTAAAACCACTCTAATACTGAGAGAATTAATCATTAAAGGATTTTTCAATCAACAGTTAATTCGTTAGTTATCCAAGTAGTATATTAAGTTAAAAGCATGCCACAGCTTCTCATGTAACTCAGTGTTTAATTTTTTTGATGTCTGGCAGACAAAGTATGCAGTAATATATGTTATACTCTTGGAATTTGTGACATCCCTTTAAAAAAAAAAAAAAAAAAAAAAATCTATATATGTGTAATTGTTCTGTGTTTTTATACCTAACTGCTGGCAGCATTTGAGGCTGGAGGCATTATGTTTTGGTGGCTGTATGTGTGTACATTCATCACATTCTTGTGAATGCAACATCTGTTGAACACCTGGAGGGGATTTAGCACAAATGTTCACTTGAACTCAGTAATGAACTGAGTGGATTTTGATCATTAAAGGTCACTGTGACTACAAGAAACACATTTGTTGCCATAACTTGAGAATTCATGTGCTAATTATGATCAAAATTTTAGCCAAATGTGTAATAAATTAAAATGATGAAGTGATGACATTTGCAATCCAAAAGGCCAAAGGTCTAATCTGACACAATGTCTATCTTGTCATTCTAAAGACTCAGCTTGATGTGCAACTCCATAGCTTTTTACTTGTGTTTGGGTAGAGCAAATCATTTCTCTAACATTGTTGTTGGAGTTTGGTGCCATCATGTAGTTCCCACCTTTAGCCTAACTTAAGGTCTAATCAGCCAGGGTAACTGAACACACCGGTGTGGCTCTGCAGCGCCTCAAAGTGTACCAGAGTACATCTAAAAACGCCATCGAAACGAGACACTGTGACTTCATCATGTGACAGCCAGTGCTAAGCCAGTTGGGCCTTTACCTGACAGAGAGGCATTTATTTTAAATCAGCTTTTAGTCTGTTAGTTCTCTTCACTAAATAATTGTTGCACTGTGGTGAATTATTTTCTGTGGTGTCACTTGTCAGCATTGTTTTCCCTGTTCTGTATCTTTGCAGTGAAGTATTGCTCCCAGCAGTGTGACAGGTGTCTGACAGACTCAAATTTAAATGGACAACTTGCACTCAGGTTCATTCAGGATTTATAGGAGCCTGCCCATGGTTCATCTTTCCACTGATGAGTGATACAGTCACAGGAAAAATATATCTAAGAGATGACAGGACCTACTTACCATCCTGCTGTGGTCCTGCACAGCACAATTATAGTTGTGTAATCCATTTAAGTAACACACAGTTGTCTTTATTTCTCAACGTCAACAGATTGCAGCATACCGTGAAGAGCTTCAACCGTGGTCCAGAACGTTGAGAGATCCAAAGAGGAGAAACGGTAAGAGAGGTTTTTTTTTTCTGTGCTTTGCTGTGGATAACTTTTTTCATGCTTTGTGTTGGACCTGTTTCTGTTCTGCTTTTGTGACTTCAAGTCAGGTGGTTGTACAACTTGGATCGAAGGCTGGATGTTTACTTACCATAATGTGTCAACTCGAGGTCGAGTCACTCTCCAGACTATCGAAAAGAAAAATCTAAAATAAATCAAAATGCTGTCTTCCTACCAGGACACTCTGACACCAGCTTATTGTTACATACAAGACTGTGTAATATGTGGGTTAATCCTGGTGTTTTGGGATGTCCCATTCAGTCAGAATTCCACTTAACTTCTTCTGTCTTTTTTATCTTAGTAAGATTTTTTCTCACCAGGAGTCCCCTTTGTATTGAGCCATGTTCACACAGCAAGCCTCGAACCAGAAGTTGGGCGTATGTGGGAAAAGTTGCCTGAGGATAGTTGCTCCAGGATATATTAGCATAACACACAACAGCATAACCAGTCTTTATCTGAGCTGTCGGCCGTCAAGTTGCTTTGTGGGTAATGTTAGGTGGCAGGTGATGACGTTGTTTTGGTTCTTCTGTGTCGATTTTAAAGCCTTTTAAAATAAATTGTCCATTGTAAGTTTTGACTTTGTTAGTTAGATATTGTCATTGTGCCCTGTAAAGTGGCTGAAGTTTAATACCAATGTGAAGAAGTTGCTCTGAACGGAGCACCTGATACTCGTGCAGAAATGTGCATGTGATTGCATCATGTACTGTATCTTCCCTGGCTTATAACTGGCTATATTGCGTATTAAATATATTGAAGGTTTTCCCAAAGAATTAAACTCTGTTTATGGTGGTGACTGTTCAAGTGGTGTGCATGTGGGAGATTGTATACCAACGGTTCCTTAAATATATTAAGAAATTCAATATGGTGAAACGGTAAATGGCTGTGCGTACATCATGCCTTTTAAACTTAAGGCTTAACAAAGTGTTTGCCATTGACACTCACACTCCAGTGGTGGCAGGGCTGTCATGCAGGTTGCCTGTTTGCCATCAGTAGCAACTTAAAGCTCAATTTCTTGCCCACGGACACTTTGGCACACATAGGGGCTAAGGATTGACAAGTCATCTGAGCTATTATTATGTAATACTGTTACTAAGGTGTTCCACTACAAATATTTGAATTTCTTTGCATACTTTGCTAAAAAAGAAAAAAAAGGATAAAAATAAGAAAAAACCTGGGTGTGACGTTCGTGCAGTCGGCCCTTGTTGCGGGAAATAAGTGTGATGTTGCCAGGACGTTGTTCCAGCCAGTGTAAGATGCATGCTGACAGAGGTAGTTAAGTTAGTCAGCTATTAAGTATCTAAAGAGGCCCAAATTTCAGTATAACAGTTGTCCAGATGGTGTGTATTGTGCTCACTGCCCCAGAAAAGGAAATAAAGGCTTTTTCTGGCAATGTTACGACCCTGAAGAGTTAACGCATTGTTATGCCGAGAACCGGACACTTGTTGCAGGACCGCTCAATGCGAAGGTTGAAATTATACTTACATGATAATAATATCTAAGTCAAAATACTGCTTCCAAATAATGCAATATTCTTTGTTGGGTTTTTCAATGATAATGAAATATCCAGTCTATAACTTCTGAACGTATATACATATTGACTGAGGAGCAGCATTCTCTCCATACTTTACTTGAAGTTTTCTAAATTTCGGTTCATTATGAAACTGTGGTGGGCCAAATTAGACATTGGCTGGCTGCCACAGTCTTGGTAATTAATGGGAAAGACTGCAGTCTGGTTTACTGCTGCTTTTCTTTGACTCTTTAATGATATTTTTGAGACTCTTTTTTCCGTGTTGACATTTCAGCCACATTCTCATGTGGCCCTGTTTAGCAGTCTCTTATAATTTGCTTCCAAACATGCGCTGTTTGCGTTTTTTGGAGTTCAACTTTCCATCAAACAACATTCCCAAAAAAATCTTCGTACCTCATTTTTCTCCTTTAGATTGTTTTATCTCATCTTTACTCATTCTTTACTAGGGATGTGCAATGATTTCGGTCTTAGCTGATAAAAGCTTTAAAATGAGATTTAGGCATTGGCCCAAAATGAACATTGACAGGAAATATGTACATATATCTGTATTGGTAATCAGTCAAAATGAGTTGGAAACTATTGGCATACCCACAAAAATCCAATATCGTGCTACCCTAGTCTTTTCTCATCTTTCCTCAGGTGCTAGTGGGGAGGATTGACAAAGGTTGCATTAGAGTCAGATAAAAGTTATGACTTCTGTTCATAGTGAATTGGCGTTACTACAAATCTGATTTGCACTAGATTTAGGGCTAGACGTGTCGGACATTTATCAGAAAAAGCAGAGACTGTATTTTAAATACCAATAAAACAACTGTTGTATAAAGACTGTCTGAGCATGTTTGAATATGAGTGAATGTGGCGGTCCGTTCCTTTGGGATTTGAATGAAGTGTGCTGTTTCAGGAAATGAGGATTCTCAAGCCAAGTTGCTCCTCAATACAATTCCCGTCCAGGCAGGGCGGTGTAATGTTCTCTCTTAGCGGATGTTAAGCAGCTGACCTATGTCACTCATGGGAAGTAATCAGGTTTTAATTATGTCTTCTTAATCACTTGAAGACAATCTGTGCAACAAGACTTTTCTCAGTAAATGGGCTCTCTTTACATGCTAATCTGGACCTGGCTGCCTGGTCAGTAAAAAAGAAAATTATGTCTGTATCTCCCTGCATTTTTTTTTTACACAAATCATTGAGATTATACTGTGCATTTTAAAGCCAACTTATCTTCTATTCTTTACATTTTTATTCTTTGAAAATAACAGCTGATAAGACTGGCTTACAGTGTCACCCATCTTGGGTCAGACTGAACCCAAAACAATTGTGAAATGTTCCCTCCAATCGTCATTATTATTCCTAGTGAAAGGTATGCACCACAGAACTGGCTCTGTGGAGTGACTCTGGCTCACAGAGTATGGCATTCCAAGCTAAAAGCAAACCAAACTGATATTGCCCTCAATACCGTCTTCATATTTTCTCCATATTTGGAAATGTTTACCTCCTCATGATGGTTGACAGAGGTTGGAAGAAGGGATGTGAGTCATTTCAGCTGCATAAGGCTTTCTAAGGGTGAGAGGAGGAATACAAGTGACTTCCATTTAGTGAAGCTAGCAGTTTTGTGTGCTTCAGTGATCTAAGGAAAAACTGTGAGTATCATTTTGTGCTCAATTAATAATGTAATGAGTTAAAAGAAGGTTGTTCGTGCATCTTTTCAAACGGTGTATAAATGGCTGCTTTTGGGGAACTTATGTTATTATTTGTTGCTGCTTGATTGAAAGTTTGAGATGTGTAAAGGAGGTGTCAGTGCTGTTTTCATGCATTAGACCAACACTCTATTTCCATGCATCTCTCTGCAACAGTTGACACGACACAGAATTGATTTTGATTGTTTCACTGGCTCACCACATATTTTGGAGAAGTTTTTGAAAAGTTCAGACTGGCTCAGCGCTGCAGTAAGACATTTTTTGACCGCAACACTGACTTTGTACACAAACTGTCTGTCGGTAACACGAGAAGGTTCGAGATGAAGGTGAAAAGTGCAAAAATCTGTTGTGTCTGACCAAACTGGATGCATATTTTAGAGTAGAACTTGTTAAATAGCCTGCTGTGTTTGCTTGTAGATGTCTTGTAGTTGTGTGAGTGTGTAGGGAGCAGCTCAGGTCATTGTAGAATTCTGGTTTTGCAAACATCCGCTCTCACTGATAGCTACACCTTAACAGGTCTGACCTCCCTCCTGGCTCTTACTTTCACACTTCAAACATTTAATGGCAACTGCCTGGCAGTTTTTTTTTCCCCTTCACAAGTCGAAGGAAGAGGTAAATGATTTTACTTCGCTGTGAGGGCTGATGCTGCTGACTTTAGTGATGGTGTGGTGCGATTATCTAATTACTTTTATCTTTAAATTACACTGGGACTCTATCAGCTTTAAGCCTTGGAGGTAGTTACTCTGTTTGCTTGCTCGTGTAAATTTTTCTTTTTTTAATTTGTGTTTTATTGGATACTGAATTCGGTATGCTTAAACATTTATCAGTGAAAATGAGCTGTATTTATTTATTTGTCCGTAAATTAATGATGAACATTTTTAGCTGTAAGTGGACCCAACCAAAATCTGGAACCTCATGTAAACCTTGTTAATTGCTTCGATGTTGCACTATTTTCACTGATAAACAAAAACATAATGATTATTATGTTGTTGGTCCTTCTGCTGCCTTATCAGCACCAGTGCACTGAGGTGTGGACTCTCGACCTCTAAAGGTTCTCTGTGGTATCTGACACCAAGATGGTGGCAGCAGATCCTTTAAATCCTGCTCTGCTCATGCTACATTTTAGCGTTTACCTTTATTGTACAGTTGTTGAAAAAAAGGAGGCTCCACATGCCATAGACGGTGCAAACTAGGTGCTTTTGAAAAGTCATTTAATTTTTGTCACACAGTTGTTGGTCACAGTTGAGCCTGTTGTTGCTTCTCAGTTCTGCTGAGAAGCACAGAATTTTTAGCTTTTTACAGAATGTACTGCAGATTGATTGTTTTTGGCAAAATTTTAAATAAGATGAATGGAATAAATAAAAGTTTGATAAAATATTACAATTTTACCTTAAATTAGATTGTTTTTTCTAATGGAACCAAATATTGTTGAAGGACCATTGGGAAGTTGAAAATCTGATGTTATTTTGCTTTTGTTGTAGTTTCTGGCTCTGATAAATAGCGGGGATTTTTTTTTCCATTTCCCAAAACTTTTTAAAAGACAATGTGCCTTACAAAGCTTCGAGGGAGGCTTTAGTAATGAACAAAAAGTATGGAAAGACATTCCGATTATACTGAATTTATGGCCTGCTTATTTCCATGTTGTCCTCAATGCTAATCATTTGGTTGCTGGTTTTCACTTCCCATCTCAGAGACCCTAGATTTACAGTTGTCTTACAGTACACTACACA